TCCCTCCCTCCCTCCCTCCCTCCCTTCCTTCCTTCCTTCCTTATTTGGTCCTTCTGCACAGTCTTAGGCTCTCTTCTCACAGATGCTTCTAAATCTATTTTTATTAAGTTGATAATAGTAACTATTGAACCTATAACCCCCCCACACACACACACACACGTGCGTGTGTTAACGGAGACCTATTTATATTCAAGTATCAAAACAGGGTAGACATAATGGTCATTGGATCACCGGCACTTTTGTTATAGGGTGGGTTGCACAGAGTGCGCAGAGTCAGCTTAATGTACCATGACATAATAATTGAGGGATCCCCAAGGCTCAGACTTCAACTGAGGAGACGTTTGTGACCTAGGGATATATCCATCATCATTCCATTTTTTTTGTTTCATTGGCATCCCCCTTTAATTTAGGGTCTTACTACATGGTCCTGACTGGCCTGAAACTTGTGATGCTCCCACCCTCCACTTCCCAAGTGCTAGGGTGACACGTGAGCCACTTGGCACTCATCATTTTAAAGTTAACCCTGGTAGTCATTTTTGAAGTTTTTCATATTAAAATTAGATATGCACTTTCTAGAAATTAGAGGACCATTCTTACCAGTGCTGAGGAATGTAAACACCTGAGGAAGACAACAGTCACTGTCACTCCTTAGAGTGTGCTTCAACTTGTTCAGACTGGACACAAACTTCTTTGCTGGTGCCCTTCTGGTATCCGTCTGATGTCCCTGAATAGAACTCCTGAGAACTGAGCAGGAACACTTGAGCCGCACCCTCCCTAAGATCCAGAACAGTGCCTGGCACACAGTGGGCCCTTGATGCACTTTTGTCGAGCATGCACATGTAAACACAGACTATGCTCTTCTTCCACAAAGATACCTTTTCCTCAGAGATACCTATTCCTACTAAAAGAGAAGGAAACCTCTTCTGCAAGTGCCACATGGCAGCAGCTTGCTGGCTGATGAAGAGTTCCAGCCTGGACATAGCAGCTGAAGCTGGAATGCCTCCTTCTTCAGTGAGAACTGCCAATGAGGACTCTGTGTCCTTTTGCTTAATCATCTGTTAGCCTGCTGGCCATCTGGTCAGGTAAATCTTGGCAGAGATTTGTTTCAGGCAGCACACAGTGCCCTTTCTGCAGAGGGACACTGGCACAGGACTGCTTACATACAGTTGGCACACTCCTGCCACAAATAATTTGGCAGAATGAAACAACTTTGCAAACTAATATATGTCACACTTTTCTAATATAACTCCTTAGCAAGAAGTATAAGTGCATTAGGTACTGAGGGGCAGTGATATTTCATTGATCTTTAGGTTTTTTTGACTCTTAAAATCCATGGCATACTAAGCTACCCTGAATGTAAGGAACACATGCTGAAGAGCTTGTATAGAGGCTGGGAAGGAACACAGAAGAGGGAAATGGAATAAAATATAAGCACTGGCTTATATTCAGTGCTTATATTCAGTGCATAGTTCCTACTGAAGGAACTATGACATTCAACAAGTGTTTGTTAAATGAGCCACTACCATATGCTCGACACCGAAAGGCATGTGGCAATGACAAAACACATGCTCTTGATCTGCTTTAAATCCTGTAAAGGAGTCCGGGGGTGGGTGCATCCCAAGTGGGATAGTATCGGCCCTAGCGCCATGCTAAACATGAGGTGTCAGGCATTTGGTGAAGAGAGCAATAGTGAGAAACATGGGAATGCTTCCAGATGGGGACATGCTGATTGGCACAGAGATCAGGCTGCATCAGCAGGTGCATGAGAGGTGGTCAGAGGAGGATGGGAAAGCACCAACTTGGGAGAACCTAAACCAGTGTTTCTGGGGTGTAGATTCCACCATCATCAGCAGTAGCAGCACCTGGGAACTATTAGAAATGCAAATTCAGCATTAAGGATATGGTTTAGTTGTTATTATAGTTGGGTAGTATTCACAAAGCTCAGGGTTCAATTCCCAGCACCACATAAGCCAAGTATGGTGACACATGCCTGTGATCCTAGCACTAGGAAGATGTACGCAGGAGGATTCGAAGTTCAACGTCATCTATGAATCCAAAATATGTTTAAGGACAATCTGGGCTACAGGAGACCCTGTCTCAAAACAAAACTAAAAACCAACCCGCCCCCCCCCAAAAAAAACAAAATGCAAATTCTCAACTCAATTACAGGTCTGCTGAGTCAGAACCATGGGATGGGGCCCACCAATCTATTTGTTTATGTGCCTCAAGTCTGAGAGCCACTGAGTTGGGGAAGGTAGTTCCCCCCTTTTAATGTGCTAAGTCAGAACCTGGGGCTTTTCCTACATCTCTTCCTCACCTTTTGCACAGTAATGCAAAGCCTTGGGGGCTGGGCAGCCACAGGGTGAGTAGGGTTAGAGAATTTCCATCTTTTCACAGGCTATTCAGGTGGCACAGCAATGTTAAGAATTTATGCTTCCCACTACTTTATATACATACATAGCCCTTATGTACATCCTCCTTGGTAGCCTGCCTTCCTAACTCACAAACAGATTTGAGAACTGGAGGCTGAGAAGAGCTAGGGTTTGCAAGTTCAGCTGGGATGACAAGCTTGCAAAGCTGCACCCATCCCATAACCACAGGGTCAAGGGTAGCTGTAAAAGACAAGGAGGTAGTGAGAATAGCACTTCTCTTTTGATTAGATCATTATAAAAAGCAGCGGGAATATGTTAGAATATGCTGTTGAGTTTATTGAAATGTGTGTAGTCTCCGGAGACCATCAGGATTTGGCAGCATGTGGCCTTGCCTGCCCTTTTGCTAGCTATAAAGTGATGGGTGATCTTTCCTGCTCTACATCTTCTCTTTGTTTGAATAGCTCATATTCTCTTCAGAATCACTTCTGTTTATATAACCTTTTCCTTCTGGTATGTTAGCTTCTGGGATGAGCACACTACTGATATAGCTGTTGCTTGAGTTATTGGGGCTTCCAAGTGGCCTCAGTGCGTGCAAAGAGCTCTTTACTACCTATCAGAAGAGAAGGGTATGCCACATAGGGATCTGACCAGCACATTAGAGGTCATGATCCAATTCATTCTCACAAGGGCCATTTCACAGAGGCAGTGGTTCAATTGAACCTTGGACGACACCTACAGAATGTTAACTCACATGCTCTAGAAATGCTGACAGCCCTGTGCTCTGCTGTGCAGACAGCTTCCCATACACAGATATGTCAGCACCCAACACTTTTGGTTGCCTTCTGATATCTCTCAGCCACCTAGGCTGTGTATTTGGCCAGTTTTTTTTGGGGGGGTTGTTGTTCTTGTTATTGTAAGTAATGGGCCATGTGACAACACAGATGAACACTGAGGAAGGAAATCGTGCAATGTGAAAACAGCCATGCACTTTGATTCTACTTATATGACGTACCTAGGAGTCAAAATCATAATGACAGGAAGTAGAATAATGGCTTTTAGGGCTACAGGGAGGTGGCAATGGCGAGTCACTGTTTCATGGGTAATAGAGGTACAGTTATATAAGAGGGGGAAAGTTCTGGAAATGATTGCACAATGAAGTGAATACTTAATTCAAACCATGCACTTAAAATGGTTAAGATGATAAATTGCATGTTATGTAGGCTCTACTATAATTTTTAAAAAATTAAGTAAACAGTATTGTCTCACTGCAGTTCACACAGTTGAATAGTGGACAAGGAAAATACTGTTACTTTATAAGCATATGCTACATATCTGAATATTATATCTAGGTGAATTTCAGTTTTACCCTCAATTTACAGATGGTGGTAAGAGGTATGTTAGAAAGACAGTAACTCACAAAGAAGCCTCTGAGGTGGACTAAGATCCAAGCCTGAAGGACTGCCTGCTTTCAACACAGGAATGCAGAAGCAGCACACAATGCTTACCATGGAAACAGATTTTAAGAACCACTTCAGTGTGGTGCCAGAGACAGATGAGGATCTCAAGGCCACTGATTTGCTCTGATGCATCACACCAACATGTAATATGCATGTATACAACAGTAGAAAGTTCTAGGTAAGAACTAGTGGAGAGAATTCAAGAAATCCCTGTCTAGGCAATTCTGGAATTCACAGCACCAGCTCTGATTTCATATTACTTACAGATGTCTTGGACAGCCAGTGACATGACAAACTTTCCAGTGAAGAAATTATCATGGTTCTGGTCATGTCTTTAAGGGTCTTAGAGCTCAGAGACACATAGCCCTGGAAAATCTGTCATGCATTCCACACCAAGCTGTATAGTGAAGAATAGAGAGAACCTAGGGACCACAGAATAGGTAGAGAGGTTTAGGAGACATAGTTTTTAGTGAGGTGTGCAAAGGCTAGTCATCAAGGGGATGAAGGAGAGTATATGACCTGCATCTCCAGTCTGCAGGGCAGCTGGCCTGTTGTAACAAATCCCAGGTAAACGCCCTGGGTATGAGCAGTATCTACATGATGGGTACCCAGTTCTTACCTACTGATTCTGAAACCCAAACAGTGTTCGTTCTCTTGCAACCACATTCTCACTGGGAAGAAGTTGCTGGAATCTTTACATAAAGCTTGATTCCCATTTTTTCCCGGCTCCCTGTGTTCATACCATACCTACCCGCCTTGGTGAGAGCATGGGAGTACCTGGTATGAGTCAGTGGGCCCACTGGTCGCTCAGGTCTTCTTGGGGGCAATGCACCAGGTCTGTTCAGAGAATTGGTCTTAGGTGGCCGAGGCTTTTTAGGTGGGATGGCAGGAACAGAGGGCTTCTGTAAATCCAGTTTTGGCTCTCTCTCTGGTCTGTCTTTAAGTCATTGTTTGATGAAGCAAGCATAAAGAAAACAGACTTCATGTCAGTGGCAACACTTAGGTGCAAGTCACTTATTCCCTGCTTTAACAATAACAATAACAATAACAATAACAACAACAACAAAAACAAAAACATATCGATACCATTTTGTAGAGCAAAGATGATAGTAAAGAGGATCACTTATTCATAGTCAACTTAGAAAAAGCCAGAATTCCCTATCCCCTTCTTCCTGTGCTCTTGTTAGTGCAGGTCCTTCAGCCACTGACCCTTCAAAGCCTGGCTCAGACATCTCCCTGAGAGCCTGTGCAGGGCTAGCATACAAATGATGCTCCATAGAGAGGTGATAGGTTTTACTATATGGCCCACATAAACTGCTGCTAGGTTTAGGGAAAGAATGGGCCAGGTTAACCTCTGAGATCATCAGCTAATGAGGGAGGAAACTATTCAGGGAATAGATTTTTCAGGGATTTTTTTGTATACTTTGAACTTGGAAGACAAGGTGGGGCTTCTCAGATTTTGAGTCCTGCTTTTGGAGTGAAGGGGCTACTAGGACGAGCTCCAATCCAGATCTGGTAGTCAAACTGGGTGCTGTTCAATGACAGCTTCAGTTTTCCCATTCGCAACTAGCCTTGCTTTGTGCATCCTTGTGTGTGATACAAAAAGCATTAACCCAAAATCTTACTAATAACGACTGAACTTCCAGTGTGTGGCATATTGAAGCACAGGTTAAAATTCCTGTATTTATTTGGATGCAAGTCCTCAGAACACTGGTGTTTCATTGGCAAGCACAGACATGAAACATGTTTGGGAGCTCATAATAAGAAGCAATAACTTTAGGTGCTTCCTAAGGTACTAAAGGAAAACACACCCAACCAGAAATAAGAACTTACTTTCTGGCACACTAGGGCCAAAAAACAAGGGGCTAAGCTGAAATGTTAAGGAGGGCTAGCTCCCTGGCTGTGCAACAGAATAAAGACAGGAATGCAGTAACTTGCAGGATGACATGGTATGTATTTTGGTGACATTACAGGGACACTAAGACTCAGATGCTGGTTCCCTGAAAGCCCTATTGCTTCTGACTAGGACTCCTGCCTCCCAGAGTCACTGTGGCATAGGATAAGGACTCTGTGAGAGGAAGACTGTGGGCTGTGTGGCTATGTGGTCAGCCAAGGAGAATGGGTGCTCACACTTCCATCTATAAGTCAGCATGAGACAAGGGAGGAAATATCTTCATCACAGAGCCTGGCTAGGATGCAGACAGTAGAGTCTTCTACTGTTTCATTATTTCACAAGACATGCTTTTAGCCAAGAGTTGTTGATAGGGCATTCACTGAATAGAATTTTTTTCCCATTGATCTCTAACACAGATTTAGCCTTCACAATGAGGTTCTAATGAATCAGATTTTACCTGCTCACCAAGAAAGAAAGAGGAATAGATCCTTAATAGCTTGCAATGTTAGCAAAACGTTCAGCAAGCTGATGTGAAATATTAAATTCAACAATAAAATTTCATGAGGCCACGAAGGAGCACCTCCAGATAATTATATTCATTAATACAGTATTTCTTTTGTGACTTCAAAATTTAACTGCTTTTTAAAATGGAATTTGCTTGGCTTCCTGTTCATAATAACATGGCACTTTCCCATAAAAATGTGTGATCAATCAAAACTTGGGAACCTAGTAAAAGGAGCCCTTCCACAGCATGCAGATTTCTCTGGGAGAGATACTCCAAATGAATGGAATCAAACATTTGTAAACCTGACTGTGTGAAGTTTTAAGAGACTTCTCTGCCAAAGGAATTTCTGACCTCTCTCTGGAAACTCTGAGACTGAGTTGCTTTTCCCAGTATGACCATGCCACCCTCCTCTCCTCCAATATTCTTGACCAAGAACATGTATCTGTAGTGCTATTACCCACAGTCAAGAGCCCAACAGTGACCAAGGATGAGGGCTTTTATCTGTCTGAGTGGGAATTTCAGCAAAGCAAGACCACCTATCAATGGTGCATGACCCTTTCTCACCAAGACATTGAGAAAAGTGGAGGGAATAGATGGAGAGCGGGAGATATGTGCAGGGCCCTTGAACCTACAAACCACTAGGTTTGAAGTACAGGTAAGGTGGCAATGGCAGACACAGCAAGGAAGAGCCCTGGGCTAGTTGGTTTTTATTTGAAGAGAAACTTTGTCCCTATAAAGTGCCACATAAACCTCTCATATTTCCTTTGAAATGGTATGTTTGGAAACAATTCAAACAAACAAGTAATCACCATATTCCCAAGAAAAAGCAAATTGTGTGGGTTATTGGAACTAGCGCTGTGACAGACAGCTTCCTCACTTACTGTTCTAGACATGCTAATGAAGAATTGATCTCCTACCTTTCTCTTCTGTTCTGTTTGGAAGTGTTTCTGGTCTTTCAGGAGGTATCTTTTTAATTTCATGTTTTCTCTCTGTGGTACCTAGGAGGGAAAAGCTAATTGAAATCAGAAAATGTTTTCTCGATTTAGTTGACACATCTACATTCAAATATTTGTCAAATATAGAAAAGGCAATAGGTTTTCGTCCTTGAGAATGGGTGCTCGTGGCATGCAATATTAATTGTTCAGAAACATAGCAGAGCTCATTTGTAGCCTATGTCATGAAATTGGCTTGCATAGCCACATGCGGTGGCATATGCCTATAAATCTAGCATTTTGGAAGCCAAGGCAGAACTACTACAAGTTGAAGGCCAACTAGGGATATATGGTGAGACTCTGTCTTTAAAAAAGTTTGCAAGCCAGGCATGGTAGCCCACACTTTTAATTCCAGCACTCAGGAGGCAGAAGCAGGCAGATATTTGTGATTTTGACACCAGCCTGGTGTACAATATGAGTTCTAGCACAGCTAGGGCTGTTACGCAGAGAAACCCTGTCTCAAAAAAGAAAAAAACCAAAAACCAAAAAACAAACAAAACAAATAAATAAAGTTTGCATGCCTGTAAATATTTAATTAATAGAACACCATTAATCTTCTCTAAATACTTAGACCATGTTTCTTGGACATTAAAAGTCAAATTATATAATGGAGTAGGCATGTAGAATGTATAGAAATAATTTACTCATTAAAACACATAAATAAGGAATCATAATAACAGGTTTCACAAGGATCTAGACTCCATATTTTAATAGACTAAATATATAGCCTAGAATTGTTTGATAGACCTTGCATTATAAGGTGAAGTCTATATTCCCTTGGCCAGATGGGGCAGCCTTGTGAATGCTTTGACCAGTAGTTGAAGTACTTCCATGCTATTTCCAAGGCTAAGTTATATGAGGCCATCAGGCTTACACTTTGTTTGTTGGGACATTGGATATCCATATAGAGAAGTCAACTACCCCTGAAAAGCCATGCTAAGCCTGGTCTTGACATAGAGAGAGCAACACATGTAAGTGAAGCAGCTATTTTTCAAGAGGATATTCCAGCCTCAATTAGTTCTGCTTTCCCAGCCACTGCCCCAGGCCTGATGGAATAGAAACTAACCATTTGGGTCATGCTTTGTTCACATTCTTTGCCCACAGAACCTATGGCTCTATAAAGATTGCTATTTTATGCCACCAAATTTGGAGTGATTTGTCATACAGCAATAGCATCTAGAACATAATTTTGAGGCACATGCAGATATGTTACAGTGGTTTTCCTTGAATCCTTTCTCTGTGTATGAATTCTTCAAGTATTACATGTTTCCCAATATACCACTTTATATTTCTTCTTTACTCTTGTGGCCTGCCACTGTTCCCTCACCTGAGGTCCTCATCAGTGCTGTTGGGTGGTAGGTATTGAAATCAGGATTATGAGGCCTCAGGAGTTTAAAAAATAACATTGCACTGAACATATACTGCATGTGACTCACGTTAATGACTCACTTATAATTAAACACGGTTTCTGATTTGTATCATTTACATATCTGCATTCTTTTGGTAAAAGAAAATTGATGATGATGAAAACATGAATGTTTATGTATTTCCTCATTATGAAGTAATTCTCAAGCTACTTCAGGATAAAAGAGCAGGAAGATGAAATGCCATTGTACCTTACCTGGAAGAAATTCATCAAAAATGTTGGTAAAATCATTTAAAAAACAATTTGTCTACAATGCTACCACACAGTTTCATTTCTAATGACAATTATGCTATCTCCAAGAATCTGGTCCTACTTACTCTTTTCTAGGCTACCGGAGCCTCAAACTGCTCAGTTCAATGCCTTGGGCTCCAACTGATTACTAACTCTAGGGCAAAGGGTCTTCAGAGAAAAATATATAACTAGTTTGTTTTAATCATAGCACAATATAATATTTATATAGTCAGAACCACTAGGTGGCAAAATGAAACTATTCAATGTCAGTGGAGATTGGGGTGGAATAGGACATTTAATTAACACTCAATTCCAGGAATCAATATCTGTAATTCTCAATTAGACCCAAATAAATTGGAAATAAATTTAATCTTAAATAGATGTTTTTCTCCAAATTGGTAGTACCCTCAAAAGTACTTTTTAGAAAAATCACTTTGTAGTTGCAAGTCAGTCTGGATGGACTTCATAGTGAGCTTCAGGCTATCCATGGCTAGAGTGAGAGGCCCTGTCTTTACAAAACAAAACACTTCTTAACAAATGTATGAAAAACATCAAAATCTGGCAACTTACATCTACTCATATATTATATGCTATAGCTATATCATAATTATAGATTTTTAAAAAATTAAAACAGCCTTAATTTTGTTTTAGCTGTTTCTTGTTAAAATTAGTATGTATATGCACACAAGTTAGCATATATTCACTGTACAATATAATGGGCTTCATTGTGACACTTTCATACATGTATACCATGTATTTTGATTATATTTTTATCCTCTATTGCTACTTTCCCTCTTCAGTTTGTTAAGAAAAAATAAACCACCTAAGTAGTCATTCACAAAGAAATTTCCACAATTAACTGTGACTGTTATAAAGAAGAGTTCCATTGGGAAGCATGAATCATCATCTTTATGTATGGATGAGAAGCCATTGTGCAGTGAGTTATTGAGTATCTAATGACATCACTTCTTCCTATATGATTCAACCTTAATATATAAACTACATAGAATGAGTGAACTGGAATTTTTCAAGACTAGAAAAGAATCAAGAGGAGAAGTATCTATGGCTAGAAAAACTTCTTTTTGTTCAGGGGAAGTGAAGTAAGTGCAAATTTTGGCTAACCACATAGGACAGAGAGTGAAACCCCAGCAACTGAACATATACAATGACGCGATTCCGTGGGAAGCAATCTTCCCTAAGTTGACCCTCATTAAGGACAATAACCAGGTCTTTGCTCCTCAAAAACAGATTGTTGAAAATAAACAGTACTTTCTTTAAGTGGAACCCCCATTTCTTCACTGTAGCAGAGACATGCTTTAGTGTTTGTTTGCCTCTAGAAAAAACAGCAACTCATTTCAAACCTGCCTGCTGAAACAAAATCACAACCCCTAAAGTAACAGTCTGTGGATTCAGGAATCTTGAACTAGTAACAAAGAAAATTTGATTTTGTGCAAAAGAAAGATGAACATTTTATGTGAGGGACCTAAAAGGTACATTACCTGCTCCTTGTTTGATGACAGGAGCGGATGGAGGTGGTGGTTTCTTGGGTCTCTGAAAAATAAATCAATCAAAATTATACATGAGACTGTTGGCAAGCTGTAGTATAGCAGACAGACCACAGACCTGGTTTTCTATGTGCAGTATGAACAATTTAGAAAACCTCTCCAAAAAAATTGAGCAATTCTGCCTCTGGGGACACCAACTTTCTTTTGGCACCTCTAAATAAACACTGAAGTAAATTCAGTCAGCAAAACAAAACTCAGATCAACAAGTGAAACGCCATTTCCCCCTTTCTAAATTTATAATAGTCTTCTGGAAAAACCCAGCTCAGCAAAAAATGGTTTGAAACCAGCAAGCACAATGGTGCCCCTACACTGAAACCAGATTTAATCAGCTGAATAACCAAGTGGTTCAATAAGAGTCACCATGAAGACTCAAGATCAGATCTGGTAGAATGTGTGGTACCATCAACTAAATGCAAACCAAGAGTATACTGAAGTCTGGCAAGTTCTCCACTTTTTACCTTTCTTTTCTTTTTTAATCTAAATTAGAAACAATTTTATTTTACATATCAATCCCAGTTCCCTCTCAATCCCATCCTCCCATGACCCCCACCGACCATCATCCCACTCCCCAGGGAGAGTGAGATCTTCCATGGGGGGGGATCATCAAAGTCTATCACATCATTTGGGGCAGGGACTAGGCCCTCCCCCACGTATTTAGGTTGAGAGACTATGCCCCTGTGGGGAATGGGCTCCCAAAGTCCATTTGTGCACTAGAGATAAATACCGCCAGAGGCCCCATAGCCTGCCCAAGCCCCCCAACTAACACCCACGTTCAGGGGGATTGGTTCCGTATTAAGCTGGTTCCCCAGCTGTCAGTCTAGGGTCCCTGAGCTCCCACTTGTTCAGGTCAGCTGTTTCTGTGGGTTTCCCCAGCATGGTCTTGACCCCTTTGCTCATCACTCCTCCCTCTCTACAACTGGATTCCAGGAGTTTGGCTCAGTGCTTAGTTGTGGGTATTTGCTTCTCCTTTCATCAGCTACTGGATGAAGGTTCTAGGATGGCATATAAGTTAGTCATCAATCTCATTATAGGGGAAGGGCATTTAAGGTAGCCTCTCCACTATTGCTTAGATTCTTAGTTGGGGTTATCCTTGTGGATCCCTGGACATTTCCTTAGTGTCACATTTCTCTTTAAACCTATAATGGCTCCCTCTATTAAGGTATCTCTTTTCTTGCTCTCCTCTATTCTTCCCCTGACTCAGTCTTCCTGATCCCTCATGTCCTCCTTTCCCCTCCTATTCTCCCCTCCTCTTTATCCTTCCTCCCTCCCCACTTCCCCCATGCTCCCAATTTGTTCAGGAGCTCTTGCCCCTTTCCTCTTTTTACCTCTTTCTATGCTGAGGCTAGAAGCTCATTTATCCCCTACATAGCGGTTACACCCTACAACATGTGATAAACTGGAATAGATGTGGGGTTTTCGAATTGGCCCACTATTTCTTTTTCTATTGACCATTGTTACTCTGCAGGTGATAGAAGTAGCAGTGAAATCAATAGCATTCATCCCTGAACTGGTTTCAGAGTTTGTGGGCTCTTCCTTGTCACCCAAGATTGACTGTTAGGAGGGAGATGGGCAAAACTGAACTGGCTAAACATTTCAGTGGTTGGAGAACGCAGCCATATGTCATCTTGTACAGTGATGTTAAGGGAAAGGGGAGAGCCATCTAGCATGATAGCACTAAGGAAGAATAGGAATGGAGAAGGTTGGAGTGTATGTGTCACATCACTGTTGACACTCCTTGCCCTCTCAGGCACCATACATTTGTGGTTCTAAGAAAACTCCACAGAGAATCTTCTGGTTTCCAAAATGTACTAGTGTGACATTACCACAGGGAACATGAATGGCAGATTCCCAGTCTCCACTCTGACTTATCTTTCTCTGACAAAGCACTGGGATATAGAAAGAATTTGTTTCAGATAAAACCCAGAGAAAACTGTACACACAAGGAACTTGGGTGGTGGTGGTGATGGGCAGCATAGCATGAAGGCTCTGAATTCAACAACTTTTCAGCCTGTTTCTTCATTAGCTGGTAATTCCAACACATTACTCTGAGTAAAGGCTATAGCATGGTAGGCAAGAGAAAGGCTCTGAAATCTGAAGATCTGTACAAATCTCTACTATTAGCCAAGGACAATGACAAACAACCTCACCTAGCTCTTCTTTCTCATCAGTAAATGGCCATTAATATTCTCTTCCTCTTGGGAGGAGGTGATTTTGCAAGAAGAGTTAGTAATCTTTGACTTAGGCAACTCATGTAGCAACTCTACCAGGAAGTGATATCAATATGCCCATGCTGCTGTTGAAATAATTGAGAGAAAGTCATTTCCCAAGGTCAAGCTATTATTAAATGGGGTAGAGGGGACTGGGAATAAAGCCCAGGGTCATTTGACCCACAGCATATTCATAACTACTATGGCCTGAGGCAGGCCACCAGGCAGGCATAATAGAGCACACATGGAACTCATCCAAGTGCAGGCAACTGCATGATGGTCAGATTGGGAGGAGGAAATGGTTATCAGATTTCAGCGGCAGTTAGAGCTCAGCTAGGCTGTGTCACATAAAAGTAGAAAGACTGGAAAGGAGTATGGTTAAAGTGGTGAGCTCTGACTAGCAGGATCATGTGTGTACATGCCCATGTATGTTTCCTCCTCAATGTTTCCCTGGACCGTATGTGTAAGCACAGACACATAAACTTTATTATGAAAAAGTATGCTGCTCTCAGGGGCTCCTTCCCTCACAGACAGGCCCTGCACTGAGTGGGTGTGTTTGTGGCTGAGGGTATCCCAATATTCTATTCCATTTGTCAGCCTTTGCCAGTACTCTTATTTACTCTGTCCTTTGCCTTCCTTTTCTGTTTTGGTATAAACTAGACTGGAGACAGATCTTTGTTTAACTAATGAAGTTATTGCCGAAGCCTTGCCATTTAACCTTCCTTTACCTCAGGATCAGAGTTACTGCTTATTCATGAAACTGCCAACACCATATGGCCTAATTCTTGTCAGCCAAGTCCCAACAGTGCCTACCTACTTCTGGATGTCTTTCTTGCTCCTTGCTGGTTTGAAATATTCTTTTATTTTTAAAAGACATTTTTATTTATTTTGTATATCTGGAAATATGTGTGAGCTTGCACACATGTGTCACAGTATGTATGTAAAGATCAGAGGACAGCTTGTGGGAGTTGGTTCTCTCCTTCCACTGTGTGGGTCCTGAAGATCAAACTCATGCTGTTAGGCTTGGAAGCAAGCACCTTTACTGGCTGAGCCTTCTCTCTGGCCCTAGTTTAAAACATTCTATAAACAATGGCACATAAGCCTCCCTATTGGAAGCGGTTACCCAGAGATATTGACTCAAACTATGTGGGGGTGGGGGTGGAGAGAAAGACAATTACAAACTATTATATTTTCTGATTACTGGGCAATGTTAAAATAAAACAAAACAAAATTGTAATGTTGTATAAGATTTGTCATGTAACAGATACATGAATTGTGACATGGCAAAAAAATGGGTGGAAGAATAAAAGGAAAGGAAAAAGGTTGGGAGGGTGGTTGGAAAGCATTGCAGTAACAGACTATGTGAAAAGTGGTCCCAGCAAGTATGCCTGTGAGTGAGGCAATGGCAGGAGGCAGAAGTACACATTTATGATGAGCGTTGTGGCCACTGCAGAAGCAATTAGGACACACATTTAAAAGGAAGGGATAGTTTGTCAGCTGTGAACTATCTGTCCTATATGTAGCACATTGGCTAGGCACTGGCCAGCAGAGGGAGTTTATACCCCATCCCCACCCCCTTTTTGGACTGAACACTTTCTCTGGTTTTGCTAAGTGTTTAACAGATTATAATTACATCATTTCCGCCCTTCACTTTCCTCCCTCCAAACCCTTCCATATACCCCCCTCCTTGCTCTCTTTCAAGACACATACAGCTCTAGAACACCTTCCCAACATTGAATTACTGCACATGGACCTACTTTTAAATTTTAATACAGCAAAATGGTGATGAGAACCGAAAAGGCAGAGCAGCAAATCTCTAACAAACATGGTAATAATAATAATAATAATAATAATAATAATAATAATAATAATAAAAGAAACATAGGAGTTGATGGTATTCAAAGAAATAGAGATGAGCAGACAGAGTTGATTTTCCTCAAAATGTTCAATTGTGGCTGGATAAAGGAAATGGGACTGGGAATCCATAGGTCTAGGTGAACTCTGTGGAATTTAACAGCCACACAATACTAACTAGCTCCTGTAGTGCATGAACAGTGACCTCCTTCAACCCAGGCAAGGATTTGAAGTCCTGTATTTTTAGTCAATCATTCCATGTATTCTCTTATTCCCCTCTCCATGATGAAAGTACAGTACCCCAGTTCCAAACTCAGGTGGCCTTAGGCTGCTCAGTTTCTAGGTAAGAGCTGAAAATACAGCAGTGGATGTTGGGGCCATAAGGTATAGGAGGAATGCCCACTGCAATGGAGAAGATGAAGATCAGAGGGACTGTGACAGTCACCTGGTAGCAAAGGGGGCCTAGAAGCCTTTATCATGTGCTGTCCAGACACTGAGGACTTATTTTTCAAAAATCAAAACACAAAAAAATGCCAGTAACAACAACAAAACCCCGTGAACCAACATTTCCTGATCTTTAGTAGAGTCCAAAGCTTTCTGTGGTCTCATGTATTTAGGGCACATATATCTATGTGTGTATATGTTTACCTCTGCCAGCATATGGAGCTGCTGGTTCAAATAGAAACAACCTGTCACCCTTCAGGGACAAAGCAGCTATATTTGATTATTACCATTATAGTACCAGAAAGGAAACAGATCTGAATGTCCCAGAGTAAGGAATTGCTTCCTGTGGAAGGATTTCAAAACCAACTCTCCCCTTGTTTTGACAACACTTGCCTATTCTAACCCAAGAACTTGTCATCTGGCTCAACTGCTTTGACTGGCAGGAACTGTAATCTGTGGTTTTGTGTTATCAACCAGTTTG